TAGCAAGTATTTTCAATCTGAAGCTTATCACAGAAAGAAAGTAGTGATTTCGGTTTTCCGTTTGTACAACCCCTAACCATGCGCCGGTTTTAATCGTTGTCTTTTGACTACCCATTTCAATAAAGCAATGGGAGAAAGATAAGAAAGTTAGAAGTAGAGTCGATGTGAAATGGGACAGTGCGAATTAACTAAGGTTGCAAATAAATGGAAAGGATGCATGAGCACCACTGTTTACGACTCTCAACCGTGATCCCCATCCAAGGAACCCAATGCGACCCATATGATCGAGTCTTCTGATTAGGGTTTTCATACCCGCGTGCCCGGTGCTCTCTTTTGTTCACCCTTGTCTTTTATTCCACCTAACATCTGATTACAGGTTTTCGAAGATGATACTATTAGACCCGAACCGAATAAATTTATTTTAACCGGTTAGAATCACTGATCTCAACGAATTTCGAAGATAATGAAGCTCTGCGAATTATTTGCAATGACTTCTGGGATGTACTTCTCGATTTAAACGTCTGGATGAATGAAGCTCTTATCAAAATCCGGGCAGATAGCTAGTTCCTTGAAATTGAAGGTCATACGGTTTTTACACCCATTTGGCCAACGAGTTCATAGCTCAAAATCAGTATTCTTCACCGCTCCTCCTCTTTAACTGTGATGTCCTGTGGAGAGAGGGAGAAAACAAATCGACTTATCAAAGTGAAAGTCCCAATCCACCAATCTGAATAAACCAATCATTAAAAACATCCACTTCAAAGTTTCCCATAGATTGGTTGATATTCCGGACTGAGATGTTTCGATTCGGTACATAAAACTAGTAGTAGAGATGAATAAAAAACATCCAAGAGACCGGATCTGGAAAGATAAATCGACTGGTACTCGCGCGAGTTCGAGCTTACGGCGCTTTTTCATCAGAGTTCACCACGGAATGTGGTGTTTGTCGGGATCGCTCTCTCTTTCTCTCTATTTCTATTTCATTTTCTTGTAGATCTGATTTGGGAAACAACCATATTCTCGTGTGAGGATAGTGACCTCGATTTACTTTTAGATGGCAGGCTGTCTAATCTGTAGTATACAGACGACATTGTGCTACTAAGTGAAAATCCAGGTAAGTTGCAACCTTTTATGGACAGCTTGAGTGCTGGTGTAGCCATGTTTGGTATGCGTTTTGTACTTTTAACGTGTAAAATCCTACTACAGGACTGGGTTGGTTCAGCACCCAGCCTCACTCTAGCTGGGGAAGTAATAGAGCAAGTGGATAAGTTTTGTTATCTAGGGAGCTACATCTCACCCGGTGGACGCATCACGGATGAACTGTCAGCTCGCATAAAGACAGTTCGATTGGTGTTTGCCAACTGGAGACAGCTATAGCACCGCCGCGACATCCAGTTGTCTGTGAAAGGTCGAGTATATATTGCGGCAGTTCTGCGTGGAAATTTGGATATTGGGAAAAAGACAAACTGTTGGTATTTGAACTCCGATGTCTACGCAGCATCGCACGAATCTGAGGGGGAAGCCGGACGAGCAATGATGAGGTCAAGTGCAGAGTTTTAGGTGACCGCGGTAGCTCAATGGATCAAGTGGTCGACCTCCGTAGTTCACGCTGGTCGGGACATTTGCTGTGCATATCACCAAATGGACTGCCACGGCGAGCGATGTTTGCCGAGTTAGGTGGTGGATGGAATAAAGCCAAGGGCGGTTAAAGCAAGACCTGGCAAGTGTATGAACACCCTAACCAGCAGACTCATACACATAAGTCCCGTTAGACTCTTTGGACGGGGTCCTCGGAATGATCTTAACCGGCGTTTAGAGACAGTGAGTGATATAGCTGAGTGTCGTAAAGAATGGTGTTCGAGCATCTTCTCAAATTCTTTGTGACCTTAATCCGCTGCAAGTCTCCATTTTCTGTTAGACTGAAAAACCGAAACTGAACTTTGTTTGGGCTGTTTGCTGCTACCCTTAAAGGAGGGTACGAACAGGATGCTGGTAATGCTCACATTTTCAGCAAGATACCGTAAATCAGTTAATGTATTTTATCAAGTCGATGTTGTGTAAATAGATAAAAGAATGAATGGAACAATTTTTGATGGTGTTCTGAAAACTGCGCCGGGAATCCAATGTGATGTACACATAGACCATGTTCTGTGATAACTAATCATGCATCAAACTCCCTGTAAGTTCATTGATAGTTCTTCAACTTAGTCACGTGATAACGTGACTGCAAATAAATCAATGGCGGTAAAAATTTTCACTCACACGCATCATGTTGAATACGGGCACACGAAAATACAATGGTTGGAACGTATATTGTGAAAATGTCATCCAAACTAGTCTCACGTACTTTGTCCGCTAAACAACCACGTCCTTTCTAATATCTGTCGCATGCAACAATCGATAAGCTACCAGAAAACACCAACAAGCGTGAAGAACACAACCTAATTTACCTTAGTAACCAGGTTTAAATGCGTGGTGGAGTTATCGGGGCTTCAATACAGAATGGGGCAAACTAAGAAAGGGTTTTATGAGCGGAATGAAGGATGTGATTAGACTAGATTATATTATCGTCTTGCAAATGAGGTGTGAACAGAAAAGCTAGAAAGCATTGGACAGCTATTTCGACCTGGTTGGGTCTCATCAGTAGCACGAATCCACTGACCCAACTGGGGACCGAACCTGGAACCTCACTGGTAGAACGCAAACATAATACGCACTCGACCACCAGGCAGAGCATGTTTTCATTTTGGACATAGACGATATAGCACAACCCATACCCAGTTGTATCGATGGATTTGTGCACTACTGATGAGACCCAACCAGGTCTAAACAGTTCTTCAATGTTTTCTAGATTTTCAGTTCACGCCTCATTTACCCAACGCAATCATTATCGAAATCAAGGTTTTATACACCCCATCCAAAACAATACAACCCCTAAAAAAACCAATCCGTACAGCGCCCATTGGACCTGTCATTGTTCGAAAGTGTAAGCACAAACGGAATCCATCAATGAACCGAAAAACTATATTTCTGAGATTTCCATCACAAATCTCTACTCAGTGACATGAGGCGTATTTTTGGTGAACATGTTTTTTTAAGTCGATCCAATAGTGAATCTAACTCGTACAGCATTGTTTAGAATCACTGTTTCGAGTTACTGATGGACTGCTTCGAATAATATGTTCTCAAAAAGTAGAGATTTGTGACAAAAATACACGACCGGGGTTTAAGTATATGTATGACTATAGATAAGAGATTGTCGGATGCTCATACCTGACGAGCGGCAATCACCGCGAACCCTGTCTATGAGCAATCCAGATAATTTGGTCCAGTCATTCACATGCTATTTATTATAAATATACATAGATATATATATCAATGAATTAGTATTTTCAAGACTCCCCTATGACCATATTCAAAAACGTCTGAGTCTAAAACTCACTTTTAGTATGGTAGATACAACAAGTGAGTAACAGTTACAGATCTCCACTGACAATTTATGGATAGCCTAAATTCAGCAGTGATGAAACTGATGTTTCAACTTGAATCTTTTGAACTATGATTATTATGAGGCCTTGAAAATGCTGGTGTACCGGCATATACAATATGTAAACCCATGGTCTTTAAATTTGTATGAAGTTCCTAAAACCGATAGTGAATTTGTGCAAAGCCCGATTGAACACAGGCAGAGTTGGGTAATCAAACTACAGGCAGGCAATTTTGAGATTGCATACCATCTGCGCCAGTTGTTTTGTCCCAAATTCAGTAGGCAAATGAGCACACAAAGAATGAAGCAACAAATTTTATTGGATACAGCAAATATGTAGCCGGTACACAACCCGGGGAACAATCAGGAACGATCATATGTAGGAAGGCAGGTAGGCAGGCAGGCGACAGAGTTCGGCTCACACGTCGCAGTACATGAGAAGGCCGTCAAGCCAAAATTCAAAGCAGTCAATCAATCGATCAACCGATCGATCGATCAGTCAATTGGACCATGGGCATGCATGAACACAAAATAGTCAGTTGTAAGCCACAACACCAGTGTAACCTAGTCCGGGTGTTTGATGAACCGGATAATAGCACCGAGATCGAGGTCTGCACCATTGAAATCGGTATCTTCAATAGCGTTTTGTCGAACAACACTGTTTGTTACAAGCTACACCACCTTTTAGGGTTTTTTCTCGTATATTAGAAAATATAGGGATCATCAAGAGCCAAGTAACACTTGGTTTAGTGATTGAGAACAGGTCACGTGTCACAAGTTTGGATAAATATATTCGAGTACCTACCCAAATCCCGTTTAAATGCATGGAATGGGTTTGTTGAGATATACACTAATGTGATTGAACTTCATCCGACCCTTAGACGGCTTCATTTCGATTCAGCACTGAGGCGCGACACACTTCGGTCACATTTAAGATGCGATGCTTGCTGTAAAACAAAGTGTGACAAACTAAATCCAGTAGGGCTTTAAAGATAGTACAAAGGAACAGGGCTGTCCGTGTGAGATGTTTGGCGGCTATAAAGAGAATCGATCAGATCTAAATACCACGTGAACGTGACCAGGAAGCCTGACCCGAGTCGTTGGGTTGTGGCAGGTGGGGCTTCTGAGATAGGGAACGCTGATGAATCTGACTTGATTGTACCAGTATTTGCTAACATGTGTACAATTCCAGTGGCAGACATACTCAATACTGAGAATGTTATTTTGGCAGCGGCCACTGATATCTGACTGTTGACGCAAGTATCACGATAAGTTGGTTGATTTGAAGAGAAAATTCTTGAATTATTGCAGTTATTTTATTCATGGTTTTATCTAGCTCGATATGCTGGTTTGAGTACAGATTGCACATAATCGTTATCACGGTGGTAAATGCCATCCTCGCGTTGTAACTACAAATACTTAATAACAAACCAATAATGAATGAAGAATATAGTGTTTTGACAAAGCTCTTCTTTCCAACTTCAGGTCGCATTCGTCAATCCTCAATGACAAGGATGCAGCCTCTGAGCAATCTCGTGGCACAACTTTGGTCAGCTGTTCTCCTGATTCTGCACATTCCGGGCTTGGCAACTCAAACAGAGGTGATCCATACCGCGCTTATTGTTGTTCCACCTCTGTTCGACGAGATTCAAGTGCTCACAATGACAGATGTGCTACGTCGTGCCGAAGTTCAGGTTAGTTTAGCCTCGATGGTTCCCGGGAGCATGGAAGTTCGCGGACAACATGGTCTGAGCATTGTAACTGATATCCAGTTGCCAAGCTCCACAGAGCCAACTATGGACATGATACTGATACCCTCAGGTGATCACACGTACGAGTACATGTCAGCGGACTCGGACCTCGGTGCGTTACTTCAGGCGTACGCAAGAGACCGGAAATATATAGCAGCCATGGGTACCGGTGTTGGGGTTTTGGCCAATCGCAAAATTTATTCCGGTAGTCAAGTGACTGTTTATCCCAGCTTGGAATCGATTGCAGCACAGAATTTTCGAATTTCAGGAGAGAATGTGGTTATCGATGGCCCCCTGTTCACTGCACGTGCTTCGGTGAATGCACTGGAGTTCGCGCTGAACACGGTAGAGCGACACGCTCCGCGCAACTCAAACGAGAGATTGCATTCAAACTGTATGCTCAGAAGAAGCTTGATCTCGGGGTTCGAGGCGGAGGAGGAGGTGCGAGACCAATCAGATCACACTGGATTTTCTTGCTGATATTGGGTAACTATTTTTTATCGGTTGCTTACTGATCAGTTTAAACCGATACATTGTAAATTGCAGGATACTGGCATGTACTTCCATACCACATTGTCAGCTCGTTGAAAGAACCAAACAATTGATATTTTCCTTTTGCAGCCAGCTTCAAATTAATTCCCTCTAAGCAATGCCACAAACATTCTAATGTTTGCGAAGACAACATTACACTGATACAGTGGATAAAGTTTCATGGAATCTCCTGTTGTTCTTTTTGCATTCTAGCCCTCTCAATTGACCTGTCCTACACGTTGCCTGTTGTTCTCTTCCATGTACGCATTCATGTATATCTTTAAAAAAGATCGGAATGATTTGTTTTCTTTTCTTCAAATTATTATTCGTCTATTTGTTTACATCCATATATATATATATA